GCTAGCGACACATGCTTATACTTCTGAAATATTACAATATCGAAGCTATTTGCATGAGGCTCATATTCTTCTTCTTGTCCATATTCCTCTATGCGGGGTAGGCTCAGCCTTTCCTCTTTAACCATTCAGACCTGTTATACGTTGTTTTTACACTCGCACCCTTCTCTTGCTGATTCTCTTTCCAAGCTTTTTCTGCTCCAAGCTCTTTGTACGACACCTCCCTAAAGAAGCTTAACTGTTATGGTTTAATAATAATTTACCATTACGACTAGAGGGTTTGAATACCAAAATAGTGTCGCCGCGTAGGCTGATCGTCCAAAACACGACGTCAATTTTCCACTTCGTAAATATAAATGGGCTTCACAAATTATTAAAATTTATTCATCATATTATTATATTAATATTACAATATTTAGTAAGGGATTTGTATTTGAATTTTACATGATATTAGGGTATTGTGGAAATGATTTTATATGTAAGTGATGGATCTTGTGACGCCACAGGGCTAGGTAGCACTGCCCTGCTTATTGCTGCTCTGAAGTAGTAATGCGTTTCGGTTTGAAGAGTGGGGCAGTTGTACTGTGAAAATTTACACTTAAAATATCGCACGGTGGTTGGAGGTAATTACGTTGTTGATGTCTATAGGCTCCGGAGACCACTTAACACCAGGTGGACCGTGAGTTCGTCCTTCCATTGAAATAAAACAAGATAATTAGAAACAAATCACGCACGGTCATCCGGCCCGAAATTCTGGTCAAAAATTAGGATTCCCTGTTTTATGAATACCAAAAGACTGACATACATACTTATATACGTTTAAATATATATGTCGGCGTAGCGTCTATCTATTTACCTAAAAATATTTAAAATATGTAACGGTTTCCTTAATGTTACGTATGTCAGCATCTGTTTGAGACGTTATCCAAGAGAATTCATGACTTACTACACTTGGCTAACCTGTTCATCACTTGAAAATTTGCCCGATGTGAGAATCGAACCCACAACCCTCAGCGCAACAATAAGGGGTGCTCTAACTACTGCACCATCGAGCCACCCATATAAGCACTAAATATATATATTTACACGAGATTATACTAATTTACAGGTTTATAAACGTTTATATCTTATAATATTATGGTGTCGAACATAATTAATATTCAATTTAATATAATTTATAGTTTGATTTTCCGATTTTCCAGTCACACGCGTATACAATAAATTGACTCGTCAAAATCGTGTTACTTTTTTATTGTAGAACAATATTAGTATTAGTTTTCGTGTTCACTGACGAGAGCTTTACAAGTCTCTATATATGATTATACTGAAAATTCGAAAAAGTGAAAACTTTAAAGTTATGGAAAAATGAACACAGCAGCGAAACATATCAGCCTAATACACAGGCGTGATGTTTTCTTGATGAAGATGCTAGACTTCAAATATATTATTGAATTAATTACGTGCTCAGTTTTCTTTAAAGTGGTTAAAACGCTGTTTTTTCGGTCAGCTTTCCAACCCTTTATGAATGAGGGATTACTAGTGGCCCGGAGACATTTCCAGTTTCACCAAGACATGTGGGCGAGCAAAGGCTTAACCAGGAGGGGTGGGATTTGCTAACAGTTACCCAAGCGCGTCCAAAGGAGACCTAACAACTCATGAGCAGCTAAGTTTCCAACCCCTTTAGTTGTTTATTTGGCTTAAAAATTGTAACACTTTTAAAATAAATTATCAAACTACTCACATCCCTAATAAAACATAACACCGAAACTGGCAAGTTTCCCCAAACGCGATACCCGGATATGTCAAACTGTTGACAGAATCTCGCATACCTCCAGTACCCGTGTCGCATGTACCTGACGCGTTCGCAAACCGAAAATTGTACATGGAAAATTCTATTATGATTGATGAAACAATAATAAATTGCCCGTAGGTACTTCTTTATGTTTTGTGACATTTTTATTATACTTTATTTGGCGAAACATTTTTAGGACTGACAGGTTATTTGAGTGGGGAAATAAATAGCCAGTGACGTATGTTCTTTTGGGTATGACAGGCGTTTTTGACGTAAAAATACAATTTGCGAATTCGATTGTTTTTTTTTTTTTTTAAATTCCGTTTTTGACACGCGTATTTAATCGTACTTGTATATTCATAATCGTAATTATAATTTTAAAAAACCCTTGTGATCCTTTTTTTATTGCTTAGGTGGACGAGCTCACAGCCCACCTGGCGTTAAGTGGGTACTGGAGCCCGTAGACATCTACAACGTAAATGCGCCACCAACCTTGAGATATAAGTTCTAAGGTCTCAAGTATAGTTACAACGGCTGCCCCGCCCTTTAAACCGAAACGCATTACTGCTTCACGGCAGAACTAGGCAGGGCAGTGGTACCTACCCGTGCGGACTCACAAGAGGTCCTACCACCAGTAATTACGCAAATTATAATTTTGCGGGTTATAATTTTTATTACACGATGTTATTCCTTCACGGTGGAAGTCAATCGTTAACATTTGTTGAGTACGTATTTCATTACAAAAATTGGTACCGGCCTGTGATTTGAATACCGGTGCACCACTCAACACGAATGCACCGGACGTCTTATCCTTTAGGCCACGACGACTTCAAAATTTTATTTGTCTCCTATGTAATGTTTTTTTAATACCGTTTCATCATATTCGCATTTATTGGTTGGTTAACTAGTACTTTTAAAAATCAATAACTAAAACAACAAATCAATTATATATAAACATTGAAGAGTAAGGAAAATTTTCTGCATGCTTCAATAAGCGTTCGCGCGTCAAAGCGACCTACTTGTTTGATAGTCGACACTCGACTGCAGCGGAACTTCCGGCAGACGGCCGGCACACTCCACTTTACCGGATGTAGTGTGGAGATAGCCTAGACATCTCTATTGTGTGATAATATCTTTAGTTTGAATATAGATTATCGGGAGTGTTTTTCTTGAACCAGCTAAACATAAATACAACATAAATCTGACTTCAAGCTACAGAAGAATTCTAATTTTAAAAATTCAAATAGCGTAGCCATCTTTTAAAAATGAACCAAAAAAATCATTTATAACAGCATTGCTGCCAGCATTTAGAAATTATGAACATTTAACGCTCTAGATGGGCTGGTGAGCTCTCAGCTTTGTGACATATAATTGTGGGCTTCCGGGTTGGGCTTTAGCAAAGCTGTACTGAGTGACCTAGTTAAGTTGTTGTCATGCATTCACTCGTAGAATTGCATCAGGACCCTTTGTACGGACTCTCCTGGAATTCAATTATTCTCTGTATTCCCGAGAATCACGAGCGGCTTCAGACGAGTTTAAAGGCTTTATACTCGTCTGAAGCCGCATTATACAGTATCGGTACTAGTTGAAACTAATATTGGATCTGAAGGCTCTACACAATTTTATTAACTAACTAGCCGTACTCGCCTGCTTCGCTGCGCATTTAAAATTAACATTATTATTTATTATTATTATTATTAGTCCGCACGGGTAGGTACCACCACCCTACCTATTTCTGCCGTGAAGCAGTAATGCGTTTCGGCTTGAAGGGTGGGGCAGCCGCTGTAAGTATACTTGAGACCTTAGAACTGATATCTCAAGGTGGGTGGCACATTTACGCTATAGATGTCCATGGGCTCCAGTAACCACTTAACACCAGGTGGGCTGTGAGCTCGTCCGCCCATCTAATCAATAAAAAAATGCAATATTTCTTGATACAAAAAATTGATAAAACTCGCTTGCAGCTGCAATTCTGGGAGCATATGGGGATGATGCAAAGTCACTACGAAAACTTACTATTCAAGCGACCAAGCGACGCGCAAATATAGAACACGATAAACAACAAAACCCAATGAAAAATCATAATAAGAGGAGCGGGATTTGCATACGTGCTCCAATAGCCACTCGTCAGTCGCTAGAAAAAAAAAAGAACAGAATGAAAAATCCCTCGTACGTTTTGACGATGCGTCAAATCGAGTTAAAACGCTGACGTACGCCACAAATGACGTGGGTCGAAATTCTGTTATGAACATCCCGCAAATGTTTCGGAAATTAAATTATCGAATTACCGTACTGATTAAAAGTTCTAATGTCAGAATTCAGGAGTTGCGTTGAAATGACGTAAATAACGTAACGAAAAAAACGTCAGTGTGCTTAGTTCGAGTTTTTTAACGTTCTCGATAGCGTAAAAGTTAACTCAATGTAAAACGTTCAAGCAAACGTTCCAACTCCATACAAATTTGAACTTGATCTTATGAGAAACTTTAATATTTACTTTTACGCTATCGAGAACGTTAAAAAACTCGCACTAAGCACGCTGATTTTTAATCAAACTGCACAAAAATCAGATGAGCAGACGAGTTTCTGGGCCACGCGGTGTTAGGGGTGTACGTTACGTATTGAAATACATTGTGCCGTAATTTCCGCCATCTTTCTTAGTAGATGATATCAAAGTGTCAATTGTAAAGTAGGGTTTTTATTAGATCGAAACGCATAAGTACTTCGCAAGAGAAATAGAGTAATTGGTACTGACCTGTACAGGTAGATATAGCCAACGCACGCAGCCCCTTATAACTGGCCCTATTACCAGTAATTAGTTACTAGATTCAATTTTATCACACATTAAAATTCCTACGTCGTCAACGCGTGTCACCTTAGAAAAAATGATGTGCCGGATTCGAACCCTGGTATGGTCACATCACTCAATCCAGATATACCAGCCGCCCTGCCCATCGATCCACTGTAATTTTAGGATCTCCAAACTTGTTTATAAGACCTGAATTAAAAATATTCTTATCCGATGTAAAATTGCGTCATATCCACTACATATCGTAGATATCTTCTAAAATTGTATCGATAATAAGTAATCCGGGTAATTAATTACCAAAAATATAATCGTAACCAAGTTTAAGGGATATTCTAATTCCTTTCTGCATTTTGTGACAAAGAATCAAAAATTAATTAATAAAGCCTTATTTTGACATTGTTTCAGATCTCCAATTCCCCATAGACGTGTCAGGAGTACAGAACGACCATCCGTTCTTGGACGCGGATTCCCTCCAGTCGCTGTTCAGGAGACTCACCGCTCTCAACCGATGCGCCAATATGAAACTAGAGCACCACCATCATCAGAAGAGATCGGTAGGTCAAGTCTAATAAAGACTATCGTTGTTTCAGGGTCAACAGATTTAGGTTTCTCTTCTTCAGCCTGTATCCACCCAATCCTTATCCTTACTGGTGGTAGGACCTCTTGTGAGTCCGCACGGGTGGGTACCACCACCTTGCCTATTTCTGCCGTGAAGCAGTAATGCATTTCGGTTTGAAGGGCGGGGCAGCCGTTATAACTATACTTGAGACATTAGAACTTGTATCTCAGGGTGGGTGGCGCATTTACGTTGTGGATGTCTATGGGCTCCAGCAACCACTTAACACCAGGTGGGCTGTGAGCTCGTCCACCCATCTAAGCAATAAAAAAATAAAATCCTGAGTATAGGTGCCTTCATATGCACCCTATTCTTTTCGGACTCTTGCCTTTATTGACAAACGTTTGATTTACGTTTTGTGACGTCAAAAGTAGATCCTTATATTAACTGCCTTGTATTCTGAAGCTTTATTTTGATTGCATAGATGCGTGGACGAACTCACAGCCCACCTGGTGTTAAGTGGTTACCGGAGCCCATAGATATCTACAACTTAAATGCACCACACGCCTACTTAACATTAGTATAAATTTTCATATGGCATTAAATTCCCGGAAAATTAATAATCCAAATCTTAAGTCGACCTTAACAATTTTCCAGACAATTTCCGTACAGTTTCTCTATACATAAAACACCACAAACTTTCTAGAAAGCTCGGTGCTCACAGACTTTATGATTATTCAAGTTGTTAGTTTAATGCTTTGTTACGATGTACGCCTTTGTAAATTGAATTTGATATGGACTGATCGTTGAATACTGACAGTCCTTGCATACATTGTCTTATCCGATGGGTGTCAATCAGAGCTCCTTATTGAGTCCCTTATCACTATTTCTCATAAACATCAACGATTTGCAAAAGCTTCTTAACACATTGACTGTAATATAGGTCACCAGTGCCCTACGCGGCGCTCTGAAGGAATTATGTCGATTTCTGTTACTAAGCGTCTGGGTTACCTAATTTTGCCTTCTTTTGTTTTGAATGTACTATGTTTTAATCTTCTAGGTTTCTTAGAAATAAATTGATTTTCAGTATCTTCGGATCCGTCTTTCTATCAGAGTATACTAGATGTTCCTGCGTCTTAGTAAGGAGATCGTCTTAATTATTCAACGTGTTACACCCGCCACGAATTCGTATTAATATTTGAAGACACATCCTTTGTGTTTCATCTTTATCATCATTAACAGCCTATTTTAGTCTTAGTTTTAGTATTTTGCATATTTTAGTTGGAGATAGGCCTTTCTGAGCCTCTTGTCTACATCTACTTTTTTTTTTGCTTAGACGGGATTTGCTTAGACGCGCTCACAGCCCACCTGGTGTTAAGTGGTTACTGGAACCCATAGATATCTACAACGTAAATGCGCCACCCACCTTGAGATATTAGTTCTAAGGTCTCAAGTACAGTTACAACGACTACCCCACCCTTCAAACTTAAACGCATTACTGCTTCACGGGAGAAATAGACAGGGTGGTGGTACCTACCCGCGCGGACTCACCAGAGATCTTACCACCAGTAAATCCACTATTTTGCGTATAAAGGGTAAGGCCATAAATACGCCAGTCAGTTCAGGTGTTCTCTAATGATCCAACCACCAACGAACAACGTTTCATATTTATTCACATAGATACACTATTTGTAAGAAGTACTAGAAGTGCGAAGGAATCAAACATTTATGTAAATAAGTACCTGACACGAATTTTCACGAATTACATTCGAAATCTGACCCAAAATATATTACGGGTCGTAATGTCCGGCATTTGTTGGCCCAGACCCTGAAATGCAATATTGTCTAATTAAATAGAACATAAAAATAAATTACCAATTTGCGTAACTACCGCTGGTAGATGGTTATTGAGTGCTGGTGTCACCATTGTACCCGTTGTTGTCACCACGCAGTCATACGGTCAAACATAAAATAGAGAGAGGGTAGTCGTAATTCCATCATCGGTTTCGACGCCATGGTTCAAGGCCATCTCAGCAGCATTCAAGTCCGAACACCCGCTCAATGCCGGGGTTTTATGCTCATTTATCAATCTAACTATGAAATTAAAGAAATCTCATATTTTCCTAACCTATTCTAGAAACCTCGAGGGGTTATTCTAGATTCACTGAACTAGTAGGTGAGTACCTATCTAGAACCACAAAAGACACGGAATTCGAAGGTAATGTGGAGTGAACACGTTTTTGTTGACTGAAAAAATTGTCAGGACAAGATTTTTATGAAGGCTTTTCGAGAAAAAACGGCTGTGAATTTTACATGTTTTACTGATTTGTCACAGCTTTGCTAGTTATCACCTAGTACATTATATTTAAAACAACACAACAGCTATAAAAATATTAACTAGATGATGACCTTTTTTTTTGATAACGCCATCTTGTTGTATCTTTAAAGCGGTTAGTTGCCCTCAATTAAGAAAAATAGTATTATTATTCGCCAATAGATGTCGGGAAGAGTTGATTAGTGAAAACACGAACAAAACAACATTTTCTGGAAATAAATCGTAACTAGATCGATTTATCGCCCCTGAAATCCCCTGTATACTACTAAATTTTATGAAAATCGTTGGAGCCGTTTCCGAGATTCAGATTATATACATATATATTAATATACAAGAATTGCTCGTTTAAAGGTATAAGATTAGATACAAAGGCATTGTCACATTTCGTTACCGATAGTTGAGAATTTCATGCAATAGCCGAGTAATTTCAAGCGTGATTGCTCACTTAAAGTATGTGGTAATCATTCTGTGCCATCACTATGCAGTAGAATAAATAAGGTGAGAAGAGACAGCTTTTGTTCGCTTTGTCTAATATGGAAGCAAAAGACAACACAGCCAATATGCCATTTTTTTGTAATAAAATCCAAGACCGATGTTAAATGAAACTTACTAATGAGCCGGGATGTTATAAATGTTATAAAATAAAATAAGGTCTAAAAAAAATCGACATAAATCTGAGGAAGCAAATAATTTACATACCTTTTAAAGCTCGTCTTAATGCCAAAACTGTTAAAAACACTAAACAAAAATCAATGTAATTTTTTTTTTGGTACATTTTTTTCTTATTGGGAAGGGCAAGGGGAATAAAATCAATGTAATGTACGAACTTAAAATGTCAATAGGTTTGACAGTTATAATCTATGGCATATGGCGTGGAAAAGTTGGGGTGATAATTTCAGTATAGATGATTGGGTTAACTTCAGTTTTCAATTCACAGCATTGTAAAGAGTCGCATATTTTAAAATTCGAGTAACTAAGAGTTGATGCATCATAACAACATTTTGCTATTTATCTCACATGTTAAGTACATCAAGAACCTACTTTTTGATAAATATTTAAGTGCCATCCTTATAAAATACTTGTGTATTCTGATGTTATTTTTAGAGAACTGTGCTTCCGAATAATTTTGCTGATAATAAAAAAAACGATTTTGTTTGCTTTTCCCCCTATTCTATGTCAAGCTCGGTGTACACGAAGCGTACGTGTATTAGCCTATTTGGTTGATCCGCAAACTCATGTCCAACGTGGGGTGAGCGATAAACTCGCGCTGACGGACCCAACGTGCGATAAACACGACGATCAATCGTAAGCTAGAAAGCAGAAATAATTCGATTACGCTTTTGTCTACGTTATAATTTGTGAGATATTTTCATGATTCTGTTTATAGACTAATAAATATAGGGTAATTTAATGGACGGTAGCTAATTACATAAAATATTACACGTCTTTACGGCTTTGTTTGAGAAATTAGGTGTTGATTTTTATTTACAATATTTCCAGGTGCTTAGGTTACGTGTAGATAAAAATAAATTCAATCAATCTAAACACTAAAGCCAGAGAAACTAGCGTAGCGCGTAGCTATTGCGCCAAACGACATTTTTAAGGTATGATTGCATATATAAAAGTTCCGAATAATAACATTCGGATCGTTGGTTTACCGAGCAATCTTACCCGCTCGATGGAAGATCTTCCCTATGTCGATACCCACTAATAAAACCATTTCTCGTTACGCTTTCTTATTTTCAAAATAAACCTTCGTATAAACCTTTCCCGGACAATGACGAATATAACCAAAAATAAAGCAGTCGAGCGATGTTTAAATAATGCTCCGTCATACATATAATTCGGTAGTCCTGATCAATTTAGGACATATCAACAAACGATGCTGAAGTATCATCACCACTTAATTATTCATTAATGCAATCCGATAAATGAAAAGGACATGATCACAAATCTGAATTTTCAATAAGGGGCCCGGCTCAGACGGCATGTCCAGTCAAGTCTTAAAACCGCCCAACTCATTATGTATAACAGCAACTGTATTTTTCATGCCGCGCGGGGCCGTATCCCGCAAGGCTCCGTTTTCTTAGGATGGCACTGTTCAGCTTATATAATATATATTTTTAATGAAATTTCCCGATCACCGCCAAGGCAGTTAGCTGTCCTCGCTGATGACATTCTTGTTTCCTACTGTAGCAGAAACAAATCGCTCTTAGCAAAGGAACGAAACAGCAGAAACTTAGGGACCATACATCAAGTAGAGTTTCTCGCCTGATCTTCACAGCGGATCGCGATTCCGATCCGGTAGTAGCTGCCCTAGAGTTGTAAAATCTCGCAGGACGCACTCAGGTCTGTCTGCGAATCGCACCCCTCCACAGAACCAGCACGCGTCTTCATCTATCCCGGTGAAACAAATAAGTAATTCCTTCCTTTAAAAAAGACCACACGTAAAATAGATTCGCAGTCACACTGCTTTCATCCTCGGCAGGTTCTACTTCGTTTCCTAAATATGTATATCCTTGGAGTAAGCTGTTCCTGCGTTATTACTTTAAAAAACTTCACTGTCGCTTTATATTCGACTTGATTAATTCTTCAACGCATTTATTAGATTTAGTTATACACTGCACTAAGTCGGTTTTTTTAGTTAATACTAAACATCGAGTACCTACTTTCGTTAATGAGTCAATCTTGTTACCAACACAGGAATTTCGAATAATCTTCTTTTTTTTTATTGCCTTGCCAGACGAGCATACGGCCCATCTGATGGTAAGTGGTCGCCAAGCCGCTGCCTACCATTGAGTACTCTCCGCAAGCCTCGTTTGAAGAAGGACATTTGTCATAGCGCTCTGAAAACAATCAATAATTCATCAAGCATTTGTGATAATCGCACCGTAACTCGATACGTAGCCTATCTGTTCTCATAGACAGCACATTGTAGTCGGAGTAATACGATCGTACAATGGTATTGCTTAACACGAGATTGATCTTCGTGAATTGTCTATTGGTACTTAGATGTCAGATTCCAAAGAGTAGACGATCGCTTATTGTTATTGATCGTTCCGATATTTGCTAATACAAATGCCTTTTATTTCTAATATATTTTACGTTGCTACTTACATTTAATTTGAGTGTAGATTAATTTTGCGTAAGAACGCCAAGAAAAGGAAGAAGTAATTGAATAAAATGTTAATAAGAGAAAAGTGGTATAAGTCTTAAAATACTTATTGACACACAGGAAAACAGAGGTAAATTTTTTTCTTGTTCTTTGATATCGCAGAATTGCGGATTAAAAAACAATTGTGTTTAAAATTTTAACTTCTGTACGAAACGAAAATAAACAAAACAACATCAGCATAACATTAAAACTGAAACGGACCAAATGTTAATAAAAATTAATTCCAAATGCTAATAAATTAAACTTGAAAAAAAATCACACACACACGCAACCACAAAAAAAACGTGGTCAATAAATCAAACATTAAAAAAGAACACACGTATTATATTTATTATTTATAGTAAATTCTAAAACTTATTTTCACATTAAGCACGCTCGTAATCCTACTCCCAACTTTGAAGTTTATAATTGACAAGTCAACAGAGTAAAGGAGCTTAACCAATCTATTCAATTAACAAAGCCCTTCCTGATTGTATGTTCATGGCTCGGAGTCAACTTCACTAAATTATTTTAATTAGATTTTAAGACCGAGATCTAATGTATAAAAGACATAGTATAAATAATTCACAGTATTCCAGTTTTGTTGTGTTCATGGATCGTAATTATAAAATATTTAATAATATTTCTCTCATACTGGTGGTAGGACCTCTTATGAGTCCGCACGGGTAGATACCACCCTGTCTATTTCTGCCGTGAAGCAGTAATGCGTTTCGGTTTGAAGGGTAGAGCAGCCGTTGTAACTATACTGAGACCTTCGAACTTATATCTCAAGATGGGTGGCGCATTTACGTTGTAGATTTCTATGGGCTCCAGTAACCACTTAATAGCCAGGTGGGCTGTGAGCTCGTCCAACCATCTAAGCAATAAAAAAAACCGGTACACCAAAAAAGAAATCACAAGAATTTAAAAACTGAAACATTACGATGGATTTTTTCATGACAAAAGACGATATTTTCCGGCCAATTGTTAAGCGGAACAATTGTTTTGATGAATAAAATTAAAGATAATATTGCCTGCTATAATTTTAATCAAAAGTCATGCTCGAATGTCAATGTATAAATTTGATTTGACCTAACTAGAATGACCATGTCGAGCATGCATGTATGTATATACTGTGCAAACGATAGTATCTGAGTATTCCACTCGTCATCTCGATAAATTGGTAACGCACCGTACAAGAAGTTAATCCGATTCCATTAATCAGTTCACACGGTTGATTCGAGTTGAACACACGCCGACAACGCTAACGAGGTTTTGACAGCTCATAATTATCGATAACAATAACGTATCGATATGAAAAATAATTATAACCGGTAGTTGTGCAAAGAGATTTATTGGGAACGTTCTAATATTTTTTTTAATTCTTTTATTATCGGAATATTCAGAAAGATAGTCTCAATTCGGGTAATTGTCCGTGGTCGTAAAGAAGTTGGGCTTATTGTGAGCTCATATAGAACTGTTGGCCTGCCTAATTGTGTCGCAAAACAGACAAGCGTTCCGGCTTGGAAAACGAATCTTACAATAGTGCTAAGAATTCAATTTCGTTTCTAAAATTCGCCTTCGCGTGGAAGCCTCGGTGTACGGGATATCGCCGACAAGATGCAGGAGAGTAGGCTGAGATGGTATGGTCACGTGAAAAGGAAGCCACCTGGCTACTTCGGAAATTTGGCGCTACTGCTCGACCTCCCCGGTCGAAGACCTAGAGGCAGACCCAGGACAAGGTGGAAGGACGTAGTGTTGAAGGACAGGAGAGAATGCAATGTTACTGACGAGAATGTCGCAGACAGAGCGAAGTGGAGGAGTAAAGTGAGGAAAGCTGACCCCACCACCATGTGGGATAAATAGCCGGGAAGAGAGAGAGAGAGAGAGAGAGAGAGCCTTCGCGTATGTATTATACTTACGCAGATAAGAAAAAATAATACGAACTAAAAGTTCACCTCCCCCGTTTATGGAAGAATACATCTCAAATATAAATAGGCTGTAGGCTCACATGGTTCTTGATTTCCCAAAAGAATAACGTGATGAAAACGTGAGCGTTATTTCTAATAACAGATTCTTATTTCGATACTTTATTCAATGTTCGAAATGTAAAAAAAATATGTGGTAGGGATTTCTGTTTGTGTGATCGAGGCTTGGAATTCATTGATGTATTTTCTAAAATATAATTATTATGGAAATTATCACATTCGGACTTTCACTGTTGATCTTAGTGATAAAATAGAGTGGGAATTAGATGAATAGATAGAGGCAACTACAGCTTCCTTGCAATACTTTCCAGCAGCGCAAATGGTTCATTGACAATTACCACTTACCAACCGGGTGGCGTGTCTTTGTTCAATGCCAAAAACAAAGCTATTCGTAGTAAGAGAATTTTATGACTGTCCTTTATATTCTTACCACGAAGAAATTCCTTGTATAATAATAATAATAATAAATAAATATTTACTAACAATCACACCACGTTAACTGGTCTCGTGATAAGTTCGTAAAGAACTTGTGTTACAGGTACCAGATAACGGAAATAAACGTAAGATTTTTATTATACATATACATATATTTAAGACACATCCATAACCCTGGAAAATACATTTATATTTATCATACAAATACTTTCCCTTGGCGGGATTCGAACCCGCGACCCCCTTGTGTAGTGACCATGTCACTTACCACTACACCAGACGGCCGTTAAATAAACATACATATATCAATAAAGTCGAAAATTCAACGGTAATTCTACAAGATTAATGCCATATATAATATTATCATTTTCATAAGCCAACAACCCTTGTTCTCACGTCTCTTCCAGTATACGCCATTTTGGCGGCATACGCATTTTCTTTTTTTTTCCGTACCTATTCGCTGGTAGCCTTAAGGGTCATTCCAGCTTCGCGTAGACGGGTTAGTGTGCTCACAGACTCAACCTCAGAGAATTTGATAATACTAACCCTAGCAAGAGCAGTGCTTCGCAGAATCTACGACTGGATCGGAATCGTGACCCACTGAAAAGAATCGGCGATAATCTTAGCGGGCTGTGTCTATAAGTTAGTTCGCTCGTCGGATTTTCATTAAATCGTGACTTCTCAACTAAGTGAAGCTCCATCGATTGTTTTCAAAAATTTATATTTTTTCGTCGTTAATACGTTGCTTTGTTCAAGTCACGTTTATTTGAAAAGCATATGTATGTAGAATAAGGATCGCAGCGCATAAAATAAAAGTTACACTATTCCAAAATCTTCTATTATAATAGTAATTAATAATTAACACTAATTTTATTACGTCTTACTCATTTTTCAACCGTCTTCACCATCTTCCAATTCTCTGTCATTCTATCTGTCTTTCTTTCCGTTTCCTCTCACTCACATCTTAACGCTCCGTTCCACACGTTTCATACGTTCCGTTCTTACCAATCCTACATGTATTGAATACGATATACATAATTTGAAAATTACAATTTAAAATCGAATTTCGTAAATTTCATATCAAAACCCTTTTGATGAAAGATAACGAACTATCAATTAAGAACATTTCACGGTTCCCTTCACAGGTTCAATGTAATCCAATTAAATTCAATTCGAAGTAATTCTGACGTGGTGTCGGGATTACGTGCAAGATTCAGGCTACATTATTAATGGCTTGTGTTTAGTGTAGCGTCTTCAACTGTAAATTGTGTAATTTGTCTTAAAGAGTGATAAATAACAGTTCTGACGACATTTATCGTATTCTTTAAAGTAGTTTTTAATTGATTAATTTTGGCAACTCTATAGATAGGTGAAGAAGCTCAAAACTCATTCCGTCTTCGCAAATAAGGATGCGCCCAGTGCTTCATTCTTTGTTCTTAATTATGTAATATATATAAATGTAGTAAATAGCAGAAACTTCTTCCTCGGCCATTTTTTAAATCGGTCCGACCACAAATAGCAATAGCTCTACAACCGTACGATGTGGTAGCTAATGCGGCTAACCGGATCGCGTTTATGTATAGAGTTCATGAGTCCTAAAAGTCACATACATACACAGTACAACAGGCTAAAACACCATACTTCACTGTAATCGTTATTTACCACAAAAACTGTAAAATACTTGAAAAGTCGGATAAATTTTAATGACAAAATTCAACGCGAGATAAAATGGTAAAATAAGTTTTAATTATGTCTATTAGTCGAATTAAATAGCTTGGAATAGTTAGGATGGGTTTACAGCCTACCTCCAGTACTTTAAGAATTATTTTCATTCCAGTCGTTTGTCTTTTTTTTTTCAGAACGACTCTGACGATGAGCAATGCGCGCTGAGTGATAAATGGCAGTACGAGAGAAAGTCTAGAAGGTGGTCAAGAGTCGTCGAAATCACCCCACAAGCTCAAAGAAGATTACAGGTGAACGAATCTCTATTTAATATTAGCTTTTCTTCTATTTAATACGATACACAAAAACGCCTCTTGATCAAAGTATTATCGATTATCTCTCTGCAGACAATTATTCCATTGATTGTAAAAACTATTTTGAAGTCGTCGTGGCCTAAAGGATAAGACGTCCGGTGCATTCGTGTTGAGCGATGCACCAATGTTCGCATCCCAGGCGGGTACCATTTTTTCTAATGAAATACGTACTCAACAAATGTTCACGATGAATTTCACAGTGAAGGAATTACATCGTGTAATAAAAATTAAACCCGCAAAATTTTAATTTGCGTAATTACTGGTGGTAGGACCTATTGTGAGTCCGCGCGGGTAGGTACCACCACCCTGCCTATTTCTGCTGTGAAGCAGTAATGCGTTTCGGTTTGAAGGGTGGAGCAGCCGTTGTAACTATACTTGAGACCTTAGAACTTATATCTCAAAGTGGGTAGTGCATTTATATTGTAGATGTCTATGGGCTCCAGTAACCACTTAACATCAGGTGGGCTGTGAGCTCGTCCACCCATCTAAGCAATATAAATAAAATACACAACTGTATCTTTTTAAATTGAAAATATAATATGTATGTGCAAAAAATATTGTAAAATGCGTGAATCCCTGTCCATTTCTTATTTGACTTAAAGATAAATAAATCTATATTACTTACTAACTGAAAGTGAGAAGAGGCGTGGAATAAAACTGGTGATAATATCAGGAAACTGTAACATAAAATTGTATACTTTAAAGATATTATAAAAAAGGTGCGACTATGTTCATGTTACGTTCAATTCAAATCACCATTCTTAATAGGTATAATATATATTATATATTTGTTTGTGTTTTTGTTCAATAATGATCTTATACATAATCATTTATCGTAACTGGATAAGCCCGTTATAAAAAGATCCTCAAAGAGTGTTTGTTACCCCGATGGTATTATTAATTTATGAATCTAAATCTATGTATCTAAATCTAAATAATAGTTTTGGATTTTCTTAACAACATGCTTCTAAAGCTTTGATTACTCGTTGCGGCTAAGACCGTTAGGCGTTACCAAAAAACTGCTATTGTTAGACTAAAATCTGGTTTTTTATAAGGATACTATGACGCAAGCCTGAGGTTTAACTAATTGGCCAGTCTAGGAAGAGCTTCTACATCAAACACGTTCATTTTAACAAAATCCAAACATAAAGCAAGTATAGGTATTCCCAAGATATTAGGTAGATATCTTCGCAAAATGATACAACCAACATACAAAAACAGAAATGTTTTCTATCCAACTTATTTTAAGTTCCTTATACGGAAAATGGTTCTGAATAGAAACAGATGTAATGAACAAAACAAAACAAATAACAAGCTTTATAAATAGTCATTGTTGTCTGTATAAGGGTATAATGATCTGGAACGTTCCGATGCTCTCAAACGAAACAGCAACTTGTTGTAGTTGTGTATTTTGTTTCTAAAAGACTGTCCTTATTTATTGCCTTTTTACTATCATAACAAACAGATGGTCGCTGGAGCAAATAGACTTCACAACGTCAAGGCAACCATCTACCTTGAGACTTGAGGTCCAAGTGCTTTTAGGTACCTCAAGCACTGGTCACCATCTTCGCCCGTCACTTGGGACGAAGGGCTCGACGTGTAAATTAACCCATAGACGGCCCACTGAGTTTCTCGCCGGATTTTCTCAGTGGGTCGCGTTTCCGGTGGTAGATTCTGCGAAGTACTGCTCTTGCTAGAGCCAATGCTAGCAACACCTCCGGTTTGAGCCCCGAGAGTTCACCTACACGCTAGGGTAACGCTTATATAGCCTCTCAAGGCTACCAGCATAGGGAGGAATAAGAAAAAAACGCTGGTAGACATAGCGAAACACTGCTTTGCTAGGGCAGATAATGGTAAATCCTGTCAGACTGAGCCCCTACCAGTCAGATAGATAGATAAAAAGCCACAAAAAGCTCACTAATGTAGACATTGATTATAAATATAGAGAGAGAGGTTCAAAAGTAATCACCCAAAGTAACCGAGAAATGAAAATTTTGATTATGTATATAAAGTTCGTATAAAAATCGCGTTTCCTTGAACTCCGAATACACGACACCGCGCAAGCTTTACAAAGCTTCGCAGCGCTAACGAACGAAAATACCGAGTCTTTTGAAGAGGGCGTTTAAATGAGATGAGAAACATTAAAGGTTTGGCGTCCCTGGTATTTAATCCAAGCCTTTTGTAAGCAGCACGAGATTTACGTTAGCTCCGTATGAGAACGAATTTATTGTTAGGGGTTTTTTTTAGGACTTTTTTTAATTGAATCGCAGAAAATAGACTGTGACAATAAATGGTCTTTGTGTTATAGTAATTTCACTTAGAAGATTAGTTTTACGTTTACGAGCTTAATGCCATGTATGAACCATTAAACGGTCTTGTATTAATGTTAAGAATAAATGTTCGTTAGCAATGTCAATTTTTACTTTTTGTATATTTAGCTGTAATCTTCTATCACCGAACTATTTTTTTTTTATTATTTAATAGATGTTTGCCTCTAATAAAGAATAAAAAAAACAAAAAGATTTAGTTCGGTGATAGAAGATTACAGCTTAATATATTAATTAATTTATGTATGAACATTCTTACAGGAAAAATCTTTTTTTTTTTCGTTTTCTACTTGCCCGGTTTTTTGATAAAATATTTAATGGATTGATGGAAATGATCATGTTTTCTTCTTTTTATCGACGCACCGCCATCGGAGATAAATTTATTCATGGATACCTGTACACCGCTGTGTCTATCCACAGATATATTATAAATAGGTTTTGAAATTAATTTCAGTGTTTTCTGAGAGCTTTAATTACGAGACTCTTCTTCAATAAAGCGGTAGTAGTGGAAGATAGTAATGAACCTACTAAAGGTGTATTTCGGTGTATTTCGTTCAGGTGATAGCAGCAAGAGCTTTAGCTGAGCGCGAAGCAAGAGAAGCCAGAGGTGAAGTGGAAGATGATGAAGACGAGACTCTGCCCACCATCAGGGTGGGACTGGTGGACGCTGATGGACATTACACTGACGTTGAGCCGGATCTGTGAGTAACATGAATTCTTTTAAATGTATCCTCAATTTTTTTTATTACATGCTAAGCGTAAACTGGCCCTTGAAAACCACGCTTCCCAAGCAAAGACCATACAATCAATTTAGCATTGATACGTCAGCTTAAAGCCTCTATCCCATTGGGATAATCATCAAACTAGAACGCATGACTGCTTCGAGGTAAAAACAAACATAATTTTTGAATATCTATGATTTTAGCACATTATCTGGCAATATATAACATTAGTAATATTAAAACTTAATTAGAACTATTTTCACGAACGAAAACTGAAAAGTATTCGATACGATAGCAATAATAAAATGATAACAAATGCCGGATATTACAGCGTAGAAGTACTTTTAATTAAATCACTTATAATATACCTTCAAGAGGATTAAGAATTCAAACACAAGTAAAATATACTTGACTATAAAATAGGTCCTCCCTCCTCTTTGCCGTCAGAAAGGCAGTCTCAAGAACGCTCTGCACGAGTGTCTTTCATTTTACTCCACCCATTGTTCGTCTCACTTGAAACTGTTTCTCTCTTATGTTCAGTTCGAGTATGACAAAGATGCCCTACTGTTTAAAATTCGGTATTCGTTTGATCACTCCGCGCTGATTGAGACTGGGATAGGTAGCAGTTTCTATGTGTGTGTCTTTTTTTATATATCTAGTCTTCATTTGTTATTGAAACTCGGACCCCGGTAACCGTACTCGTCGAACTCGACAAAGAGGTCGACGTGCAACCTAACCCATGCGTCAGCCCGCTGAGTTTCTCGCCGGATCTTCTCAGCGGGTCGCAATTCCTTTCCGGTAGTAGATTCATTCGCGAAGCAATTGCTCTTGAGTTGTTAGGTCTCCTTCGGAGGCGCTCGGGCAGTTGTTAGCAAATCCCACCCCTCTTGGCTGAGCCTTTGCTCGCCCACCTGTCCTGGAGAAACTGGAACGGCCTTCGGGCCACCAGTAATCTTTCAATCATAAAAAATAATAATGTTGAAACTCGAGAATGTCAAAGCGAATTAATCTATAATGTATATCCTGTACGTGTGTATAGTGATACGCATCCTTCACGGCGGCAAGGGTAAGAATGTTATGTTAATTGACTTCGGTAATTACTTCATATCAAGCGTAACCTGCTCGCGTAAATCTATAAGAAGAAAATATCTAAAAACATTTTAAACAGCCTGTATAAGACGGCCTTATTCGGTAAGGCGATGCCGATGTCAATCAATCTGCCATCAAACGTCATCTGCGTACTTAAAATTGACATAGTAAAAGCATCATAACACGTTTTGACAGACGCTAACTACATTACAATGTGCTTAAGTAAAACTCAAACCAAATAAAGTAACGCCTCAATAAAGTAAGAGATGAAGGTGGCCAGATAATTTTGAACTGTTTTTTTTTAATGTTTAATGTTTCATCAATGAGTTTTAGAGGTCAATTTATTTTGTAGGACATCAGAGGTTACAATATACGTTGAATTGGCTTGAAGTGGTTGGTAAACTAATGAAATGAGCTTAAAGCCCACCTAATGCCATATGGTTATCGGAGCCCATAGACGCATGCCACAAATATGCGACCCACCTTAAGATAACGCATAGTATTTCATGTTCAGTAGGTTACAGTACTAAGCTTTATTGGGAAACATGAAATGTTGCTTGGTTTCCCCAATTACCTAATATTTTTTGGAATTAAATAGGTAGTTATGATAATCGAAACACTTTTTTTATTGATACAAAGATAACATTGCTAAAACTCAATACATATACATACACTCAATACATATACTACTGGTGGTAGGTACCACCACCCTGCCTATTTCTGCCGTGAAGCAGTAATGCGTTTCGGTTTGAAGGGTGGGGCAGCCGTTGTAACTATACTGAGATCTTAGAACTTATATCTCAAGATGGGCGGCGCATTTACGTTGTAGATGTCTATGGGCTCCAGTAACCACTTTACACCAGGTGGGCTGTGAGCTCGTCCAACCATCTAAGCAATAAAATAAAAAAATATAGCTTTGATTTGCACAAGACTAATAGACGAATTACTAATGCACTACAAGCATCAAATGTTTTTGGCACTTGATGTTTGAATCCCGTGTGGACTCCCAAGGCATCCTACTACCAGTAAAATATTCAGGTTAAATGCTATCTTTGAACGAAATTTCAACTGAATTACTTGAACTAATGTTACACAATCAAGCAACAAATATTCAAACATACAAAATCTTATTTATATAAACTATAATACATATTGGATTAATCAATTATCGAATTTGACGAGACGAGAGGTTTGAAACTGGACAAGTATCAATTTATTATCCATAATTTTGGCGCTCATAATCTGTCTGAACTTCGCTAGCCATTGTCGCTCGGAGATATAGGCAACGACCTCAGTACAATATATACCAATGCTGTCAATAACACGGCTGCTTATCAATTAACTGTCATAACATCTAAGCGACGCCATCATGATAAATCTTGACATTTAAAAAAAACAAAAGACTGTAGAATGATTTATACATAACACAAACATTTGAAGACAAATAAAAATGACTAGAAAGACACAATGACTCAAATAAAGGGCATAAGGTCATATGTCTTTTGTTTAACACACAATGGTCTTACGCAATACAGAAGCCAATTATGGCGTTTCGAATATTGTGACAAAGCATACTTCGGCCACACATACTCGACATAATGTTATTATTATGAATACAATGTGATTTATTTAGCTCAAAAGAAATTTTGTAATTACATATAAATATTCAAACACATGATACGTGTTAAAGTATGTAAATGATATAAATGTGGGTTTGAATATATTTCATATTTATTAAAGAAACGTAGATTTCAATAAATAGTTTGTTTAGCAATTTATAAGATGAGTGGACGAGCTCACAGCCCACCTGGTGTGAAGTGGTTACTGGAGCCCATAGACATCTACGACGTAAATGCGCCACCTACTTTGAGATATAAGTTCTAAGATCTCAAGTATAGTTACTACGGCTGCCCCACCCTTCAAACCGAAACGCATTATTGCTTCACGGCAGAAATAGAAGGGGTGGTGGTACCTACCCGCGCGGACTCACAAGAGGTCCTGCCATAATCCGAATGTAAGCATTGGATCTGATTATGAACATAATTTAAATAGGGAAATACATATATTTTATCAAATGTCACACAAAGTCACAGCAAATCATGAGCGGGCTTAAACTATTTTACAAATCGTAAAGTGTGTTGAATGTGGAGTATCAATTTACTTTTGAGATACGAGATCGAACTTTCCATTTTATTGAAATTATATTTGACATCCGAGAAAGAGGATCCCACTAAGGATTATCGTAAAGATGAAAAAACCCAAAATAAACAAAATACCAGACCTCAAGATATTGTCAGTTCGTTATGCTAGAAAAACAAATTCATTTATTTATTAATATAAAATAGACGGAAGCACAGTGTTCTAATGTCGACCGATAACACTATGGTCGTGTGTCACTTCGATAATGTAAATAAATTGTCGTGTTGTTTCTAACAGCTGTGTGTACAAAATATAATAATATTAAAAAAATAAAAAAAAATAAACAAATAAAGTATGTAGTTCTAATTGTAATATTTCAATTTTACCCATCGTCTAGGTATACAGATTACTTTATACACGAACTTTTACTGCACATTATATGTCTTCAAAATTAAAACACGTGCCGATTTACATAAGTAAAGCCCTATGAAATATTATATTATACAACTCACAGAATGCTCATTATCGATATTGTATGATGATATTGATAATTTCGATTGACTGATGGAATGTTAAGTAGATGTATTGTTCAACCTTCAATGTCAATGATCTAATCAAATTTACAGCTTAATGATAATCCATCGTTGGGATGGAAATGTTGACGTATTGAAATGTAAAATTCAGACATTGTAATTAAATTTTCTGTTCTCATATATTATAATTTTAATCTAATTTTTATTGTTTGGATGGGTGCACAAAAGCACGGCCTACCAGTTGTTAAGTGGTTATCGGAGCTCATAGACATCAACAACATAAACGCCAACACTGACCTTGAGACATGTGATCAAAGGTCTCAGTTTTTACAGTACAATGGCTGCTCCACTCTACGGACACGCATTACTACTTCACAGCAGAAATAGGCAGGGTGTTCATTTCCAGCCATGTGGACCCTTAAGACGTTCTACCACTGGTAGCTAATAAAAGTATATATTTTTTAAGGTAAACATTTTAAATGTCCAGTTTTGTTAACAATCTAATATCAAAATTCGATGTCTCCAATGAAAATAATAGATTAATATGAGTTGTCTATTTGAGTTGACTTTTATAAATTACGAACGGTAATAATAAACAAATAGTAACGAAAAACATATTTCAACGATCAAAGAAAGGTTTTTTCCCTACCTTTTCGCTGGAAACCTAAAAAACTATTCCAGCTACGCCCTGACGGGTGAGCTCAGGTGCTCAACCTGAGGCAATTTGCTAACAATAGCCCTAACAAGAGCAGTAAGTACCACGCAAAATCTACCACCGGCTCGGAATCGCGACCCACTGAGAAGATCCGGCAAGAAACTCATTGGGCTGTGTCTGTTCGGTTAGTTCGTTCGTCGAATAGCTATAGAGAAACATTGAAGGCATCACATTTAGAATATTCAATTTACTATCATTAAATTTATTAAAGATGTATTCACACAAAACAATTTTCATTGGACAGGCCCTTATCGAACATGACTATCAAAATACAAAACACACAGTTATACTACATAAAGTACAATGTGTATAATTAAGTTCGAAGTTATTTGTTCCACTATCAGCTTGTACTTAGCCCTTCACCTATCCAGTTTCCATTTCGGATTGCCAAACTCGTGGGTAATAATGATAGCTCTGAGGAAATTGTGTGGTTTCACTGCGGGAGTGGGGAGCATAGCGGAACGTTTTTTTTTTTTTGTTGTTGAGCAAGCCGTCCCTTTCAC